AACTATTAAATCTGATACTACGAAAGTTACTTCACTGTGTCGCCAGTATCTTTCTTACACTTTTAGATGTCTCCCATTCGTCATCAATACAATATTGCCGGCAAATCTGGTCTAGTACTTCCGCTGTGTGTTTAGAAATCTCTATCTATAAAAGGCAGGGTGTGTGTGTGTGTGTGTGTGTGTGTGTGTGTGTGTGTGTGTGTGTGTGTGTGTGTATTTGTTACGAATGCACGGCCGCAATTTTCGACGTATTTGCACCAAAATTTACATGCACATGCTCCAAGTTAGTGGAAAAGCCAAGGCCGTCTTTGCATTTCCCAACTCTTATCGATAGTGGAAATAATCGATTTTACATGCTTCTACGGCAGTTTTCATGTAGTTTGCGGCCATTTTCTACTGGCCAGAATGAGAGCCAATAGCTGGCTGCCACGAATAGGCAGGAAGATTCTATTGGCCATCGAGAGAGCCAACAGCTGACTGACACGAATGTTAACTAGCATGATAGCATGCAAAAAAAAAATCGATAGCTGCATTCCTCACAAGTTGGAAAAAATTAAATCTGCATGGCACTTTACTCCAATTGGCTCATTCGCTTGCTTAAACTCAACGTTGATTCTGATTCCGCAGAAATGGGTTGGATGTGAAAAAGTATTTGTTGTTTACATTCTTTTTTCATTCGGTTTTTCCAGTTACGAGTCCTTTTTTAAAGCTGATCGTTTTATGTTCATTTTGTTTAGTTCTTTTTTGTAACAGATTTAATGTTTAGTATAGAGCTTAGAAAAAATTCGCAGTGTGAGATAGGCAAGAAGTAAGGCATGTAGCAACATCAGCATAGCAAAGGGCACTCCTTTAAAGGCAAGGAAGAGCAAAAATATTTTAAGTCAAGTGATAGCGATTGCTATATGTTGTACGATCTTTTAATCAAGCACGGGCAACGCCGGGCCATGCTGCTAATTCTTGATAAAATCCAAAGGAAATTCAATGCTATTGATCCTGGAACGATATCTAGGTTTCAATCATTGTCAGACCATCGTAACTGACTTTACTATAAGTATTTTCATAGGAATTCTTCTAATGTACTTGACACCTGGAATTTAATAATTTCAACGCAGTACTAGATTATAGAAAAGGTCTTGTTTAACATCTGAAATGTCTAGATGTAACCGAAAGTTCTATAGTGTTTCTTCTCTTGCGTTCCGGCTTCGAGAAGTCGCTTACTGTCAACTGTGATAAATTTGAACTTGCGAGTGTGTGCGTATATAGCCGTCTCGTAAACAGAAATTAATCAAAATTAGTATAAATAATTACTTAATTTTCTTAATTTGTTTGTCACGAAATTGGTTGTTTGAAATGAGAAATATTCCAATTTAATTGGAGCAGAATGAAAATGCTTAAAAAAAGCATAAATAAAAAGGACAAAAAGATGGCTCTCAATATAATTAATTCCTGTTAAATAATAGCCACAGCATTTTTAAATTTGTCTAGAAAATAGACAAAACTAATGAAAGGCAGAGAGCGGTGTCAAAGAACTGTTATAAATATATTCATAGAAAAGAGAGAATTACAGGCCTTGAGCTTATTTACAGTAAGACATCTATTCTCCTCTTTTTTTAATTTCTCACAGCATTTAATTCGATGTAATCTGCTTTCTTTGGGTGATTATCGCCCCATCGACTCTCTATGGATTTTCAAATTTATCCCTTTATTTAATCTAAGGGTTCGATGATCACTTTCCGCTGCCCAGGGTGTGCCGAAAGCCACGCGACATTTGGCAGAAAATATACACTTGTGAAATAGCAAACAGGGAAAATTTGGATGATATCATCTTACATGATTCGACCAATAAAATTTCTAAATAATAGAAAGATGAATCCATTTGGTAAATAAATAAAAAATTTACAAAGTTATCAATGGTAATACGACTTTTGGGACACCATGTAGATTCATAGATTGTTGATTTATTTTAAAGCTTATCTTGTAAATTATTTAAAACCAGCAACTATTTTTAGATTGTAAGAATATTTTGGAGATAGTAATGAATTAGTGATACAAGTCCTACTAATTAACAAATTTAGTCGTAGAAGTCGAATCCTACCTTTCGCAAATGTATTGGCACCAAAGTAAATATAACACATTTAGAACTGAGACTCAGCTTTCTGGGACATTTTTCATCTCATCGCCCGCACATCCAAGCTTACAGCACCTGATATGACCAAGATAGTGACCAGACATGACGTTGCTTAACTTCCGTAATCATACATGAACCGGTGTTTCAACGTGATATGGTCGTAAGCCTATCTATATCTCGATGGAAAAATGAATATAGCAGTACATCCCTAGACAGGAACAGCATAAAGCAAAATAAAAACTAACCTTGTAGATGAAATAATTTTTAAGTTCGAACATCCCTGAAGGTTACCCGAATCGACAGACAACTGAAGATGAATAGACAGGACAAGGATTGAAACGTTGAAACGTTGAAGACTATCAAACCGATCAG